TTAGCAAGGTGGATTGAAGATGTGTGCATGAAAAATGATTTTGAACTTGAGCAGCAAAGAAAAGTGGTGTAATGTCTTTGTGATGACGAAAAGTGGTAAAATGGCCCTGGTTGACAAAAGAATTTGTGATCGTCAGGAGGCGGGAAAGAGAACAGTGTTACAGCTGGTCGTGACTTGTTTCTGTGTACAGTCTGCTTCAGTGTCAAGTTAGAGCCCGGGATTGGTTGTGGGGTTTCTCCTGACAGGATGGTTAAGAGCAGGCTCTACACTCAGTAGGATCCATGCCTGCCGGACTTAGCAGCTCTGTGAGGTCTTGGACACGTTATTCCACCTGTCTGGGCTTCAGTGGCTTCAACTCTAAAATGGGAATAATGCAGTAACCACCTCGTAAGGTTAGGATGAGGCACACGAGAGCTTCGGGTAGTGAGCATGCAAAGTGGAAAGTACTTGATCAGTGTTAGTTTTTGTCTCCCTTCCTTTTTGGACAGACTTTTCTTGCCTGCTTCAGAGAATAGTCCCATCTGAACACCAGTAGGCCTTCAACAGGAAGCACAGTTTCTTCTATCCTTAGTCTCAGTCTAATTGGAGGGATAAGCTATGGATAAAATAGCTAATGAACAAAAGCAAACAGTTAATGCTAGGTTAGGGGGAAGCCGAGTAAAGGAACATTGGAACAAGCTGGGTTAGTGAGGAGTTAGAGAAAGCTTTCGGAGAAGCCCAGTGAGGTCTTGGAGGAATCGAGTTTTTCCTAAGTGGGTGTAATGATACAGAGGCAGGAATTAACTGACTTGTGTTGTGGATCTCGTTTGGAGAGACAGTCTGAGGCACGTGGACAGAGGCCACCCCAGACCTTTGCTTTGCCTTTTCTTCCCTATTAGGTTCCTCTGATTCTTGCCTTGTTCCCTCTGGCTGTCCTGGCTGGGCCTTGGCCAAATCGCAGAGCAGTCAGACGCGGTGGGCCCGCAGGAGCTGACCAGCAAGCAGTTAACCAAGTGCCTGCGTTTCTTCCACAGGACTCTGCCACCACCATACCAATGGATGAATCCCTGCACTTTAACTCCTCCCTCCAGAGCATTCACCACGGCATGGATGAGCTCCTTGGAGGCGGGCACAGTATTCTGGAGGGACTGAGGGACCAGAGACTGACCTTGAAGGTGGGGGTCCTTCTGGGGGGAAGGCCTCTTGTTTTGGCCTCATCCAACAGTTTGTGCCTGCCTTTACGTTTTGGTTAGGTGTCCCCAAATTGTGACACTGTGATGGTGAGACAGAGCCCTTGAGTCTGGGTTCCTTCCTGTTGGCGCAGAGAATTTTGAGTCTAAAAGCAACCAAATTCTCTTTGCCAGCAGGTATTTCTTGTGCTTGCAGTGAATCATGAGATGTGACATCTTTTGGTATCCAGGTCCTTTTTCCATTTACTGAACTTACTATGAAAGTGTCTGCTGCTATGAGAGGAACCAATCACAGACGGTGAAATACTGTTGTAGAATCCATTGTGATGAGAAGGAAGACGTGGCTGTACTTGGGCGCCTCACTCTCGGGTGTTTTCTGTAGGGCCCCAGTGGTGGGCTGCCTTAGAACCGAGGTTTTTGTGCTGCAGTGACCGAATCCCAGAGGTGGGGCCCTAGGGCTGCCCTGTTGATGAGCAGCAGGTCGCTTCTGGAGCACGTGCCGCTGCTCCCCAGGACCCTCCCTCTTTAGTCCCAGGTTTTGCTAGAAGCCCCGCCCCACCGGCTGAGACTCCACCCCCTGGGAGTGGTTTACAGAAACATTACACAGACTGATGTCAGTCCTGATGTTTCAGCCTCAGCCCTTTTCCTGTGTCAGCCCTGACGGATAATGGGGCGTGGGCTGTGCTTATTATCAGGGTGTGGTTCCCTGTGAACGAAGCACTCCCAGTCACTGAGCTGTGAGAAATAGTCACTCGGAAGCTTGAGCTTTATCTTAGTTTTTGTTGGACCACATGGAGCCTGTCAGCTCCGCGGAGTTGAGTACATTTCTGCCACCTTTACCAGGGAGAAGGTCAGGCGAGCCACGAGTGACACTTCCTGCTGACGGCTGCAGTGCTTCAGCTGCTGTGAAGTTTGGTCCCTACAGCTTCACGGGCACCCTCCCCCCCTTTTTCAGAACAGCCACCTGCAGTGATCTAAACTGATAGGTGTTGATTAATATGCTCTTTCTGTAGAAAACTGCTGGTGTCCTTCCCGTATCTCAGAAAACAGTAAAACCCTTTCAGGACAGGACTCACCATGTCACACTGACATCGACAGTGAGGGTTAGAGCATCTTGTTAAAGCAAATGTTAGCTTCCTACCAAAGCCCTCTGTTACTGAGGAGTGCCAGCAACTCCTGTTCCTACACGGTCACCGAGGTCATGTGCTGGGAGCCTGGTGAGGCCGTTGGAGGCTGGGGTGTGAGGCTTCCAGCCCGGTTTCCTCTGCACACCCACTCCCACCTGTCTTTTGTCACTGATTCCCTCCGCCTCTTCCCACTGCACCTGTCGGAGTTTCTGTTTTAACCATTTGAAAGGAACGTGGGAGAGCATGAACGAGCTGGGTCCTGATTTGGGGAAAACTACTGAAAACAAACACAGTTTTTGAAATTCATAGTAATTTTCAAGTTTTTGAAATTTGTAGTAATTTTCAAGTGATTTTTGTTTTTTGTTTGTTTGTCTTTTTTTAGCTGAGCCATCCTGCCACCTGTTGGCAGCTCAGCTCAGGCCGGGAATCGAACCGCTGTTGCTCAGAGCTCAAACTCTTGAGCGAGCTCTTACCCAACTGAGCCACTCGGCCGGCCCTCAAGTGATTTTTAATAGCTTGATACCTGAACTTCAGACAGAGAGGAAATGAGCTGCGCTTTTAGCACTAAGCAGACTTTTTAGTGAGAGTCTAACATTTACCATCCTTGTCGTGGAAGAAACATGTCTGTGGTCTCCGCTGGCAGTAATCAAGCTGGACTGGAGAAACCCCTCTCGGTGAGGCTTTCCGAACAGTCTGGGCAGAATGGAGGTGGGAATATCTGTCCTGGTGCCTCGTGTCAGTCTCACCTGTCTGGTCTCTTCTCAGTTGCTCGTTAATGTGTTGTGCATTTTTAAAAATGAGTGTGAGGCATTAGGTTAGATGCCATTCGTACAAATGCAGTTGGTAATGAGTGTAGGTGTAACTTGGGGTTGGCTCAGCATTCATTTATCTTTGTTATTTCATAAGAAATTGAATGTGCTTAAAAATCAAAATTAGAAAGCAGAGAAGAAGGGCAGGCTGGGTGGTTAGGGCTTAAAATATCCTTTTGTTTTGGATGGGGGTGCTGATATTTATATACGGGGTTTTAGGTCTCTGTGTTCATGTCGGTCACTTGTGTTTCTGTCGTTCCATCTTGGGCCACGTCAAACCCTCTCCTAAACATGGACAGTGACCCACAATTGTACTCAGTACAATCCCCAAGACTTCTCTACAAAGTAGAGCAGAAATCTGATAGCAAGGAGTTTGGAGCTAGGGAGCAGAGGCAAATTTTTGATGTTGCCTTTTATTAGTATAAAATAATTAAAAATTTTTTATTGAGTTGTCATGTATATACAGGGAGGTATACAGATCCTATTATATAGGTCTGGAATCTTGACAAACGCATACATCGTTGTAACTCACACTGTATTCAAGACAGACCACTTTCGTCACCGCCGAGAGATCTTTCGTGCCCTTCCCAGTCTATTCCTCCCCTCTGGGGAGCCAGTATTCTGATTTATTTCACCATAGATTACTTTTGCCTGTTTTGAACTTCATGTAAAATGTATTCATGTGACTATATTGTGTGTGGCTTCTTCCTCCAGGAATGTTTCCAGGCTCGTTCATATTGTTACATGTTGGTAATTAGGTCCTTATTATTGCTGAGCAGTATCCCAGGGTCAAATGTATCGTAAAGTGTATAGTCATTCTCTGGTGATACACACCTGGATTGTTGCTAGGCTTTGGATATTCTCTTTTCTTCTAAAAGCTTTATTACAGTGTTAGCTTTTATTAGTTTAATTCTTTTTTTTTTTATTGGGAGACAGTGTGTTTTTTTAGCTCCAAATCAAGTAGTAGTTTCAATCTAGTTGTGGAGGACGCAGCTCAGTGGCCCAAGTGGGGATCGAACCAGCAACCTTGGTGTATGAGCACTGCACTCTAACCAACTGAGCTAACCGGCCGCTCCTATGTTTAATTCTATAATCCATCTCAAATTAATTTTTGCATTTAATATGAATTTAGGATAATTGTTTTACACACATACATATCTATGCCACTTGTGAGACGTGTGTGTGTATAATACATATATGTGATATTTATTTTATAGCCAGTTGTTCCAGTGCGTTTGTGGAAAAGCCTTTTCTTTCCCCCTTGCGTTGCTCTGCTGCCTTGAACAGAAGTCATTTGACCATATGAGAGTGATGTATTTCTGGTTGATGCTGCTTTTTTATGCTTTAAGCGTGACCAAGAGACTGTCTGTTGGTAAAGTCCCATCTCATGCTGACATGGACCCACCCTCGGCAGAACGAGTTGACCTTTGTTTTCCTTTCTCTCCTCGTCTGCCCCAGGGGACTCAAAAGAAGATTCTTGACATCGCCAACATGCTGGGCTTGTCCAACACAGTGATGCGGCTCATCGAGAAGCGGGCTTTCCAGGACAAGTACTTTATGATCGGCGGGATGCTCGCCACCTGTGTGCTCATGTTCCTCGTGGTGCAGTACCTGACGTGAGGCGGCCAAGCCCAGCAGCTGAACGGCGCTCCCAGTGCATGAGTGTGTGCGTGTGTGAGTGTGTGTGCGTGAGAGGGGGAGGGCTGCCCGCAGGCTCCCTTTGGAAATGTATGTCCCTTGTAACTGTGAAGGCCACTCGGAAGCCATTGTGATCTGTAACCTAGTGGGAGTTTCAAACCTGCTCTGTTTTCTGTGACATCTTGGAGGGGAAGCTAGTGCCACCAAGATTCATGGTGTTTAGAAAATGAAAGAAGTTCCTGTGCTGTCTCTCTCACTCTCTCACTGGGGGAGGAAGTGATGTAAGGATAAGGGATGATGAAGGAAGAGAAAGGAAAAAAGCTTTGGTGTTTTTGTCCACATGGCTGATGAGCGTACCGGGGAGGCTTTCACAGTGAGCCTTACCGACAGGACTCTCCACACTTTGTCACCACTCAGCCTTTCTGGCTCCCAGTGGGGAGGCCGGAGCAGAAGTGAAGAGGAGGGGAAGGCTTCCTTCTCTTGTGCCCATTCGCATGCTCTTGCTACGAGCCACCTCTTCCACTCCCAAAACGATACGCCAATGACAGACTGCTCATACTTGTCTCCCTTCTCCAGAAGCATCTCCCTACAGGAAACAGGCATTGATGCTGTTGTGGACAAGTAAGATGTTCCACATTACAGACGTTGGGTGTTTCTTCTTTCGAAAGTGAGGCCACTGTTATTTTCTGGGCATGTTCAGCCTTGAGACCCTAGTCACTGTTTTTTGGGGAGTAGTTAATAGAACGATTGGCTTTTGAGGTTCCAAGACTGCATCCTGGCACTGATTCCCAGGCTTTGGGGAGGGGGGGGTCTTTGCCCCTTAGACAGTAGCTATGAGCAAAAGGTAGTGATTTGTGAAGTACAGTCTTACGTCTGGTGTTAGCATCTCTAATTCTTTGGCTCGCTTCCCTTCCTTGTTGAAATGTATTAGCAACTGCCAACCAAGCCCCCATTCTGCCCAGCCAGTGTGGGCAGGTTCCGCCCTGAAACCACCTCTGGTGTCATTCTGAGACTCTTTTCAGGGACCAGGACTTTTTTCTTCTCTGACCAACCCTGGATTAAGGCTGTACCCACTACCTGGCATATTGTGGAATGTATTGCCAAGCCAGTCTGTCTGTTGTGATTAATCACTGAAATTACCAGGAAAACATGGTTAGCATATTTTTTCCATCTATTCTAGGCCCCACCAGCTCTAGGCTCAGTAACCTTATGGCAAGACATAAAATAGCACTCAAAATTTCCCAGAAAACCTGGAAACCCGGTCAGTATTAACCCCACCTCTGATTGTCTTCCCCCACTCACTTCCTGTCCTCGTTTCCTGCTACCTGGACTGTCTTCTGCCTTCCTTCCCTTTTCTGTGTGTTCCATTCCATTTCTCTTAACCTCCCAACTGTTTCTGTAGCACTATTGGTCTTTTCAGCCACATCTGTGGCATAGATCCCCTTTTAGTGAATGTTTTTCTTAATAGTCACAGGTTTTTAATATGAGTTTCCTAGGTACTAATTTCACACTTTTGGTGGGATCGCCATTGCTCCTACCCCTCTGGACTTAACAGGGCCGTGGGTTTCCAAGAAGGGGGAATCTATGACCCCTTCATAAAAGGATTGAGGGTCCTGCCAGAATGAAATTGGTGGCTCCGAGGGTGAAGACAGGGTGAGGCGTCTTCAGACCTAGATCTAACTTCGGGGAGACAGTTTGAAATTTCCCTCACACCCAGCACCCCTGCTGTCCTAGGGACCCTGCACAGGGCTCCTAGTAGTCTATAAAATGGGTTTTTTAACTACACACACTTGGCTGTCCTATCCCCTGGACCCCTGAAGATCCTGCCAGACAGTGCACTTTAGAGGAAGGTGTACAAGGAGCAGCTAAGCCATTTGGACTTGAACTCTGGGAAGTCAAAACTTCCCCCACCCCCAGCCCCCCATTAGCTGATGTGACATCTATTTGTAATGTACACCAGTGAATTTCCACACTTGCCTTTATGGTGATTGTTGGACTTGAACCAGAAGGAAGGCCTTCCTTCATGCTGCACTTTGAGAGCCATTCTCCCTACTTCGTAAAGCTGTGAGCAGTACATGGGTCTATACTATCCTGGGCTAGGGAACAGCAGCCACAGTGTGTCTGTGAAAAACATACCTTGGCCAAACTGGGTGCTTCACAGTCCCCAGAGTGTAGGGAAGGGTCCCAGGCCAGGGAAGGAGCGCCCCCTAGTGGAGTCTGGGTGAATTCTTAGGTTGAGCTGGTGCAAGAATTTCCAGCAGACAGCCAGCCTCTCATCCTCAGACAGGCTTTTGGCACAAGGTTTGCCTGTTGTGGTTTAAGACAGGCGGGTTGTCAAGGAACGTGGGGATATCTTCATTCTGTGGAATTTACTCAAGATGTGACCACCTTAAGAAAAGCAAAACTCAAAGACCAAGTAGGTAGGAGATTCTTGATTTTACAAAAGGCTTCATTGCTTCATTTTCCTAAGTCCTTTGCCTTGATGAATTGTAATGGGTTTGATTTGCAAATTTGTACTTGCACCCATTGCTTTTGAAACACGTCAGTTGAATAAAGTTGGGATTTATTTTATTTAGAAAATGATATTTTGTAAAGGAATGTGGCGTTTACTGTTATAACTAGTGACCCCCTTTTTTTATGTTTCCAGGGGCTGGACAGGGAAGCAGCTGGGAAGCTTTTTAAATTTTAGATTCTTGGGGCCTACCTCAAACCTCTGTATTCGAATATTTGTAAGTGTCTAAGGTAATTCTGATTGTGTATTTTAGAACCATTGTCTTTTAGACAGAAGGCTTTTATCTTAAAGGTGGTAGCAAACTAGTTCAGCATATATGTGTGAAGAACAAAACTTAAAGTCTGCAGTAAAGCCTTATTTGTTTATAACCTATCTTATCCCAGAAGAGATTTGAGGAGACTTATGGGAAATAACTAAAACGGTGAAATATGAAGAAGTGAGAACCAAGAACAAATCAGAGTAGAATGTCAGTACCAAGAAAAACAAGCCGTGAAGCGCTACTGCAGTGCTCTGGGGAATCCCTAATTTCAATTTGAGCCCCAGCAGCCAAAGCAAAGAGAAGGCGCATGACTTGTTACTGTCAGGATGCGGGTGGGGATGTCATATTTGCTCAGGGGAAAACCCAGACCTTTAGTACTGCTAGCTTGCCCATGGCCTTCACTGGAAATCAGGCATGGTGGTTTTCCTGGGTCACCCCTCTAATCTTCACAAACCCCGAGTTAGGTCCTGTATTTGTCCCCATTGTGCGGATGAAGAGGCTGAGCTTTCGTGACTCCCAAGGCCCCATTGGGAGTCGTGGAGGAGCTGCCCCCCATCTGTGCGGCTTCGTAGCCCAAGGTCATAACCACTGCACCGACCTGCCTCCTGTGCTTAGTATGAGATGCAGGAGACCAAGGCAGCCTTCCAGGATTGGGTGAAGAGCTATAAGGCATTTGTTGCACCTTACATGGCAGGTTCTGTCCTAAAATATTTTCTAATTGAAAAAGGAGGAGGGGATTGGGGGGAGTGGAGGGAGCTTCTGGGAATGGGCGCTGTACTCAGGCCTTGCCACCAGGGGGCAACATAACCCTACCTGTGGCTGGTCCGCCCAGAACTAGGCATTGAGTCAGGCCAGGTGTGGGAAGAGGAGGAAATAACTGCAGATTTGCTTTGGTACTTTTTAGATCCGAAATGCCCTGCTCAGTAGCAGCTCTGAGCTGTGCTTGGAGCTCTCAGTATGGCCAAGATGACCTCAAGTTCCAGCTCTAACTTCTAGGACTCCCCTTTCAGTCCTTCCCTTAGCACAGGGGCAGATGGGCATACTGCAGACAAGCACAGAAAACATTTATTTTTTTTTTTTAAGATTTTTATTGGGGAATTGAGGGGATGGGAACAGTGCTGGGGAATTGGGGGAAGGGGAACAGACAAGTTGCTGACTTTTTGTTCTTCGGTCTAGTTGTGGAGGACGTTGCTTCACTGGCCCAAGTTGGCACCATCATTGTGCTCTTCCCGGGCGAGGCAGATCAGTCGCCGGCTTCTGGACGGCCGCTCACAGTGGCTGCTGGCCGCTCACGCTGGCTGCTGGCTACATACGGTAGCCCATGGCAACCCACTGCCGCAGGGGCTGCAGCCTATGCCGTCGCCGGCGACTCACGGCAGCCCAGCTCCAGGTTGAGCTGTTGTTCAGCATCTTAGCTGTAGAGGGCAGTGTCACTGGCCCTCATATGTGGGATCCGAACCGGGGCCCTCTGGCATCCCAAGCCAGCTCCCAACCATCATACCACTCGGCCGGCCCCAGAAAACATTTCTTAAAGTGTGTGTTTGTTCCTTCCATTTTTGTGTCCTTTCCTTTTATATGGCACATAGGAGAGGGGGGGAAATGGGATGGGGGGGAATCTGGCAGGTCCTTGGCCCTCCCCCACCATAGGACCTCTGTGAGCCTGCCCTCCCTGCTTCATTGCTACTCTGCTCTAGCACCGGGTTTTCAACCCTGATTCTACTGGGCCCAGCAGGGAAGCTCTCCCACCTCCTCAGCCCTTAAGTACCTGCTACCAGAGTCCTGGTATATGCCTGGCACCATGTTCACTGTGTCAGAGCCGATGGGTTGGAAGTAACCTCTGCCCTCTGCACCTGGCAGTGATTAGAGGCAGCAGTAAACGCTCTGGATCCAGGATGCAGACACTTGGCTTCAAGTCCCAGCCCTGCTGGCGACAGCCACACCGCAGGCACCTCTGAGCCTCACCTTTCCCCGCTTAGAATGGGGGTTACACCTGTCCCACATCGCCTCCCAAGGTGGGCAGGGGTTCCCAAAAGACCAAGTGTTTGTGGCAGAGTCCAGGGGTCTGCAGCAAGGAGTCTCAGCCTTGGCCCTGTTGCAGTCACCTGAGGCGCTTAAACAGTCCCCATTCTGGGGCTTGACTCCAGAGGTTCTGAGCTGTTTGATCAGGAGTGTGGCCTTGGTTTCAGGATTTTTTTTTTTTAACTTTCCAAGAGATTGTCCTGGGTTGCAAACCATTGCCCTGAATGCCTTCCAGTCTGCTGGTTTGTTACTCCTGTTTAACTGGAAAGGCCAGCACTATGAACGATTAACAGCCAGAGGACAGAGTAACAGAGAGACTCTCCAAGGCTGAGGGACTACTTCTAGAGTGGCTGTGGCAGTGGGGGCATTAACAAGGAAGGGCTTCCTGGGACAGCGCGCAGTGATGGCTGCAGGATGATTGGAAGAGAGGAAGAGTTGGGGAAGAAGTCGAGGGAAGGGGGCAGCTGCAAGCTCTAATCAGCCTTTAACTGCCAAGGGCAATGAGGGAGGGGAAGGGAGGGCTGTTGCCCCATCGTCTGCTTGGCCCCCAGCTTCCTTGCACCACCAGCTCAGCCCACCCAGGAAATGGACGCTGCTCAGAAGCCCGAGAAGCCTGAAGTGGAGCTGAATCCTTGGTGGGTGGTACCTCACCACAGGGGTGGGCTGTGCAGGGTGGCAGTTCCACCTCTTTCCAGTCTGGGCAGTGGGCTGCACATCCTTTCACCCAAGACAGCTCGGGCGAAGCCCACACCCTGGCCTCACTCACCTGGCACCTCTCAGCATGCTCCGCTAAGTTTCTCGTGTCCAGGGCTTGTGCAGGGACAGAGCCAGGGAGTCAGGGCGTTGTGACCTCTATAGGGGGGCAGATAGAGGGGAAGAGGAACCACTGCCCCTCAGACCTCTCACTTTGTGAAGATCAAAAGATACGACCCTGAGTGCTCTGATATTGTTCAGGTTCTTGCTGTATGCATGGGGTGGGCGTAAACTCAGTGTGCCTGGCAATTTCTTCCAGGAAACCATTATTTTCTTCCCTCTCCTTTACCTCTGTGGCAGAGGGCAGCCTTTCATACCACAATCCTAGGGCCCTGGGAGACCCTTAGAAGGCAGCCCCCAGAGCAGAATTCCAGAACGGGAGCCACGGCCACCCCTGGATGAGAAAACACCTTGGAATAAATTTTCTGAGCGCACCTATTTGGAGAGCACATCACTTAATTAAAGATGTAAAGGCCTGAGAAATTCACTTAAGGAAAAATATAGCTCAGCGCCAGTAGTGTACTTTTTTAACAGAAAGTCAATTTAACAATTAGCCAAAATGTTGTGGGCAGTGATAGGTGCCAGCCAGTGGGGTAGATACCAGAGACTGCATTCAGAGGTGGAGACCTCACCCAGAAGGGGCAGGAGTCTTGACAGAGTGCTTCCTGGAGGAGGGAGGATCTGTGTAGGTAGCAGGTGGATTAGTGGGCCTGGAGGGTGGTACTGACTGATATTCCTGGGAAACCAGGGAGGTGAACTCAGTTCTCAGCTGGCAGGGCTCAGGGCTGGCCTGTGGAGACTGGGGGAGTACCGGGGAGGAAGCTGGAGCCGGGGGGAGCGGGATGGAGGGAGGCCAGGAGGCCCCAGCATGAGTGCAGGTATTGGGAACCTCAGCTGTCATCCTGAAACCAGAAGTGCTGGGAAAGATCCTACTCAGGCCCTGGATTCTAGATCCAGGACCCCTGGGTCAGGAAGCGGGTGTGTGGGCACTCCTAAGCGAGCCTGGCCTCCTGGGTCTGGTTGGAAACCCCCTCGTCGGTATAAGAGGGAAAAGCGTGTGCTAGGGCTCAGGGGAGCCAGTTTCTCAGGAACACCAGCAGCCTCGATTCCGCAGACCTGCTGAAACCACCAACTGGGCATAGGTGTGGGGCTGGCACTGCCACATACTCTGAGAGCCCCACGGTTCATTTCCTTGCTCCTGACGTGCTGATGAGACCTAGTAGAGAAGCTCAGCTCCCCTGGGAGGACCTGACCCCCAAGAACCTTGGATGTGATGGCAGCAGTGTGATGGGGCGGTGGGATGGCGTTTGCGATGGGGATGGCAGACATGGCTGAGAATCCTGACTGTCCCACTCTTAGCAGGGTGGCCTTGGGCTTACTCGCTCGTCTGCATATAGGAATATTAATGGCCACCTCATAATGGTGGACCATGTGCCCGTGATCTTGTCAGTCAACGGAAGTGACTCGTAAGGGGGCAGAAGAGCTTAAGTGACTGGAATCAAGCAGGCCTGTTATGCAGCCCAGCTCAGCACATGTTTAGTTGTGTGACCTTCAGCAAGTCACCTCATCTCTCCAAGCCTCTGCTCTCTTACCTTCTAGGGATAAACAACACCCATCTCACAGGTGGCTGGGAGCCCATGCATGGTGCAACGTATATAATGTGCTTACTGCACAGCCTGTGACATGAATGATGGCAGCTGATGTTCTGTGATTAATTAGCATTGCATCAGACCTGGGTCTTGTCCCTTCTTATTCAGCTGATGGGGTTGTTATTCAAGGACTTGATATCATCGAATACAGTGCCGCCAACATCCACTAGTTAAGACTTTATTTATGAATTTATATGGTGGTATAATGTGGACATAGTATTGAGTTTGGCATCAGATGACTTGAATTCAAATCTCCACTTTAGTACTTACTAGCCCTAACGCCCTGTCTCTGTGTCTCTCACCACAGTGTCCTTGTATGTGAAATGGGGATGGTAATAATACGCATAATCTCACAGAACAGCAATGAGGATGAAATGAT